TGTAGGTATATTTTATTCACATTTCATTTCTCTCTTTTCCCTTTTCCTTTCTAAATTTCTTCTCAAATCTCCTAATCAAATATTAATCACATATTAGGGGTGAAAAAATTGCTGGACCCAATCCCGCCAAAATCATGCTAGGTTGGGCAACCCATTTCCCTTGGGCTTAGGACAAGGCTTTGGACTTAGGCTTAGGCTTCTAAAATCATGCAATTAATATTTGAAAATAACAGTATTTATTTTATTTTTATTTTTTTAGTCGGTAATTCGAACCCTGTAATTTAAAAATAATCTCTTTAAGACTCAAATTAAAATTAATTATTTCATAGATATCTATCTTTTTGAGTCTGTGCAGACCAATAATTTTCATGGTTTTTTTTTTCCCCTTTTTTTCTTCAAGATATTTATGTTAATTGAAACTTGTGAAGCAAAGATAGGTAATTTAATAAAGCAACTTGTATAACAAATATAATGATACGAGATAACTACATGGATCATAAATGAATGAAATTAACATAACTACATGGATCATAAATTAATGAAAATTAGTTAAATTCATTGGGTGACACATCTAATTTTCCTCTCAGATACAAGCTACCTTGCCTTTTTCGTTTCAATGTAATTGCGGTGTACCTTTCTTGTACACTTTTCTTTTACATTAATAAAATTATCTTTTTTTTTTTTTGTGGATTAAAAAGAAAAAAACGAAAAAAGAAGAATGTAAACTCTTATTTGTTATGATTCATAAACCATAAAAAAGATAAGAACAACTAGGGAATTGGAAAAATACCAAGGAAATGAAAATAAAAACAAGTTTAAATCCAAAAAAAAAAAAAAAAAATTTTTAAAAGCATAAATTGAAGTATGTGAACAAGAACATCTCTACTTGCGAGGTTTGGTGTTTTCAGCAGTAGCAGCAACTCCAGTAGCAACCTTAGCGACATCAAGGGCGGTGGCTTCGGGCTTTTTCTTAGAGTACAAGGTAAAGTAACCGATGGTAACTACAAATGCCAAACCACCAATCGCCAATTTCGCAGGGCAAATTGGTAACTTCTTCTGTTGGTGAAGCACCTCTTTCGTGTGCGGCCCTGGCTGCGGCAACTTTGGCGTCGCTTCGGCTTCCGCCGCCTTCACTTTGCCTGAACTTCTCACCATTTTTTTGTTTGTTTCATTCACCTTGTAATCTTCTTATTTCGATAACTCTTTTAATTGTGCATGCATATGCATGTGTTTGAAGGTGGTTACCAAGTATTGGTTGAGGGAAGAGGGAGGTTGTGGAAATGGGTACAAATACAATAATTATAGGGGTGAAAGAATGTGAATGATTGACACGTGGACCATGTAGGATTGAGAGGAGCATTGTGTGACACTTGACAAAAATTGATTTGTTTTTACATTACTACTAGGTATTTTATATGGATGATTTTGAGAAGTTTTGACCATTTCTTGTAAGAAAAATATGAACTATTATTGGCTTTAGACCCACTCTTTTAGGTCACTTGTGTTAGAATTTACTACAATTTAGTAGCCTATACAATCTTAACATTAAATGACCTTTTATAGCATTTATTTATCCTTGGGGAAATTACTATTCAGGTGGGGTTTTAAAAAATTATGACATATTAATGAAAAAATTATAATTATAATTATTAATATTTATAATATTTACCATGTTTTTGTAAATAAATTTTCCAAATAGCACTGATTGGTAATTCTCCCATCATTATTTCAAACTAAAACATTTATGTCTATGTGTCAATTGACTAGCTCATGGTTTAAGTGTTTATGCATCTCACTAAAAGCTTGGGATTTATGGAGTCTTTTTTCCTTATATTTTCTTGGAGTTTTTCTTGTATTTATATTAATTTGTTTAGCTAGTTATCTGGTTACAGTTATATATCAAATTTTCTTTTTATAATTGAATATTGTAACTCACAATTTAAAATTTTTCACTACAATATTGTTCATGGCACTTTTCATCATTAGATTTTCAGTACACAAGGCCGCTAACTTTAGGCCACTTGATATATAAAAATTGACTTTATCTCAGCATTCGGTTCATCGCCTTGCTTCCTAATTGGCTTCCCAAAACCTCATAAGGTCTCATTAATTCAAATGGCGAAAAAGACAAAGTTTTTATATGACTTGGCATCTCGGTATTGGAAACCTTTCAAAACAAAGCCCAAGCTTTCATTCGCCTAGCTTAACCAGCCACAATCTTGGAAGATCAAATTCGATAATTTTTTAGCCAATTTTTGGCCCAGCTGAATCATATTTGGCCAAAAAATCTATATTCAGTAAATGTGGCAATTTATTGAGTCCCATTAAATGTCCATCATAATAATACTTTAACAAATTTTATTGTAATTTTAATGGCAGTCATAATAATGTCTTTTTGGATAATTTCTTATGTCGATGGGTAATTAGTCCAGTGTGGCTGTCGCATACGTGGAAAAATATAATATCAGTGGCTATAATTAACATTGCTCTGCGTGATTTCTTCTTGCAAAATTTCAGGCTAGCTGTTGGTAATGGTAGAAGACTGCATTTTTGGACTGATAGGTGGTGTCACAACCAAAATCTGAGTGTGTCTTTTCCACATTATCAGTTGATAAAGATGGAAAGTTGTTTGACTTTTTCCATAGAAGAGTGGCAGATTCAGATTGGAATATGGTTTTCAAAAGACCCCTTTTCGCATGGGAAGAGGACGAAGTGCAAAAACTTAATGATCTCCTGCAGAATGTGCCTAGGCTCAATGAAGGGGTGGTAGATTCTTGTTCTTGGTTAGCTCATTTGTCTGAAGAGTTCACTGTGGCATCAACTTGGAAGTGGATGGAAGCAAGTCAAGGGGCAGATTTTACAGTCACTAGGTGTATTTGGAACAATTTAGCCCCTTCCAAAGTTCAATTCTTGAGTTGGCTAGCGTGGAGAGGTAGGATTAAATGCTCTGAATTTTTGCAAGGAATTGGAGTGTTGAGTCCAAATGTCTCTGCTCTCTGTGTGTTCTGCAGATCTGAGTTGGAGTCTGTAAATCATGTTTTTCTTCACTGTCTTTTCATTTGGGAATTGTGGGCCAATTTAGTGAACTAGTGGAATTACAAATGGGTTATTCCTGGAACAGTGGAGGGATTACTTTTGTCGTGGTCAGGTATAAAAATGAAGAAGAAGGTGCAAGCAGTTTGGAAAACAATACCGCTAGCAGTTATGTGGTTAGTGTGGAAAAGCAGAAATGATTGTTTATTTAATAAGGTACAACCGGATTAGAATGCTTTGGAAGACCTGATAAAGGCTAGAGTTACTTTGTGGGTTTCCTCATCTTTGAAGGGTTTTAATTATTTGGTACAAGATGTTATATATAACCTGAATCAAGTTTGCCTCTGTGTGTAGTTTAACTACTGACTTGCTGAAGCTCTGAGGTATGATTCTGGTTTTGTTGCTGAAATGATGATCTGCACAAGTTGTTCTGGGTCTTACAATTCTGTTGCTGGTCTGAGCTGATCTGTGCTGTCTTGTGTTGGTCTGATCTGAGCCCTGGTCTGCTATGTTCTGTGCTGCTTCTGATCTCTGGGCTGGATTGTGTTGATGTTCTGAAATCTGTCTTGAGCTGGAATTGGAAGGGTTTAGTTGGTAGGCAGAGGAGTTTGATTCAGCTGTTTTGTTATGAATTCAGTTGGGTTGGATTGTGTTGATAGGCAAATTATCTGCTGCTATTCAGTTTATATCTTGGCTGCTTATGATTGGGTGATGTTCTGTTAGTTCTGGTAGTTCTGCTTGGGTGAGGTTCTGAGTTTATATATTGGTTGCTTCTGTTAGTTCTGCTTGAGTGATGCTCTGAGTTTATATTGGCTGCTTATGCTTGGGTGTTGTTCTGTTAGTTCTGGCAGTTTCATTGATTTGATGTATTCAGTTGCTTCTTTGATGGTCTATTATCTGCCAGATTGATTTGTTGAATGCATTCAGTTGCTTCCTATCTGTTGACTGATCTGTTAGACTGATCTTATCTGCTCTGGGCTGCTATTGCTTGCTGCTGGTTTTGTTATTTGCTTTGTGGCTTCTCACTCATGGTTAACTTGGCTGATATGCTGTTGGGTTTATGGAGTACTTTTTGTTCATGCTGATATGCTGGTTTTGAAGCTGGTTTTGGATTTACACCCTGTTGTTCATGCTGGTTTAGAGTTCATTTTGGTGTTCTGTGTTTGCCTCATTGTGAGGAGGTTTGGAGCTCACTCTGTTGGTCCTGTTTGCTCCATTCTTTTTGTGTTTCTTTCTTTTTGTTTCCTTCTGGTTTTGTTTTCTTCGTTGGTCTCTCACCTACTAGGAGGTTGGAGCTTTTTAGCTCCAAACTCCTCTTTATTGATGCAATCTTCCATACTCTGTATGCACTTTTCATCAATAAAGTCTTTTCTTTTGCCGATCAACAAAAAAGAAAGAAAAAAGGGGTAATTGCAACCTAGGTATTGCAACTTCATAATGTATTTTAATGGCAGTCATAATAATGTATTTTTGGATAATTTCTTATGTCTAAGGGTAATTACAACCTAGGTATTGCAACTTCATAATATAATATAGATTTATAGGACCAATGTAGATTAACATTTTTTAACTAATATAACAACCAAAAGATAATTATATATGAGCCTAGATCGAATGGTACTATAGAATTTTAATGAAATATATTTTTATCCTGTGCATAGCATTTAATGCTATTAATAGTAAATACAAACATACATAAATAAATAAATAAAAAAGTAGTTCAATGCGAGAAATTCCCATTCAAGGTTTTAATAAAAAAATTTAACTATTGCATTGAGAGCAATTTGGCTACTCAATTCAACATCTCCTACTCGGTCAATTAGATTGAAATTTTTATTCTCTAACAATACCCATAGACTGGATATGACTTACAAAAAAAAAAAAAGAAGGGATATTTCTAGCAATCTCAAAGAAAATAAAACCAACTCGCTAAAAATAAGTTATAATACACAAAAATTAGAGCTCCATTGAATTTAAGGTTCAAACACCAACATTGCCAAGCCAAAATAACAAGGGAATTTGAGCAATAGCCATCAAAGGCAAGAGATAGTGGCGTTTGCTAGAATGTTTAATGTCACAACTTCTCACCTTTGCAATTAGAATCCTCTTCATGGTCTTCACCAACAACACTCCCATACAAAAGCATTCCCACAAAGTGACTACATGGAATGACCTACTCCAAAAATCCCTAGCCAGCATGACAACAGAAGCTGCCACAAAAGTGTATCTGCCATAGGCAACCATGTTGAGCACTGGCACCGCCACGTTGCCACCTCCTAGCCAATGCATTATAGTCTCCAGTAGGAGGGCTTGCAATAGCCAACAGAGCAATCCATTTGTGAATTGCACCCCCAAAGCTTCCGGGTTGAACCTACAATACACAATAAGGAAGGCCTCGTTTGGGAACAGGCCAATTTAGTAACTTTTTGGCTATTTGGTTAAAAAAGTAAATAAAAAAAACTTATATGTTTGGGATGATTTTTTGACTAATTACAAAAAAATGTGCAAAAAGTAGAGAGAAAAGAAAATCTTTGACTTTTTGGTATGAGTTGTTGGCTTTTTGGCTAAAATGATAACTTTTTGACTTTTTAGCTAAAAGGGTAAATCCCCAAATGGGGCCTAAGAGAAAAATTAGGAACCTTTTGGGAGTATATATAATGTTTTGAGTATATTATAAGTTTCATCTTTCAATTTTTACTTGAATTTTACTTTGGTCCTATCAATTTCTAATTATAATAATTATAATTAAGTGCTCAGTCATCCTCTTGTTAAAGTTGAGCGTAGATTGAAACATGACAAACCAAATTAAAATTTTACTAAAATTATATAGTGAAAAGTCTAATTTGTGATAGACTCGTCTTTTCTAATACTGTTAAAACATGTTCACTTGACTCTTCATAAGCACTTTCTATTCAAATTTTAACCCGTGAGTGACGGAAAGACCACTTTAAAGTATGTGTTAAATTTTGAGGACAATGTTCAAGGGTAGAAAGTGTAATTTGCCGTAATGGTTTTACGGAGCTCTTTTAGTGTAATTTTTCCTAATGGGAGTTTCAATTTTCTAAGTTGTGTTGTAATTTTGATGTTTTTTTTTTGGTTAGTTATTTGGGAGTGCATTAGTTGTAAAGGGAATTACTTTGGTAAATATTTGTTGGTATCTTAGTAACATATTCTGGATTAAGAATTAAGCTTTCTTATCCTGAATTTCTTTTCTTAGTTCTTATTATCTCGATATATTTTGTATATTTGGAGCTAATAAAATTTTCTTTTACTAATAAAAATAAAAATTGCATTGAAAATTTGGTTATGCTTGGTACCACTTTCATTTTTTATTCTCATATTTATTTATTTTTCTTATTTTTGAAAATAAAAATAATGAAAAGTTTAAAAACACATCGCTTTCATTTTTGTGAAAGATTTTTTGAAAATTTAGAAAGCTGCTTTACAAATACTTCCCCCCCAAAATGAGTGTTTTTCAGAATATCTAAGTGAAAATGGATTATTCAAAGCCATGGTTAGAAGTAAAGTTGCAAGGTTTATTCATTAAACAATTTGTGTTGGACTTACTTTCCATTGATGCCCAAAATGAAGCCAGCAAGAACCAAATAGGTACCAAATGCCATCAATGGGAGGTACAAATCAGGTGCATTTATATCATGTACTGGTGGTTTGTATGCGAATTCTCCCCGAACTTTCTCTCTTGTTCTCATCCAATGCCCCTATATAGGTATATATGATCAAGAGATTATAATCAAAACATAAAAGAAAATATTCAACTTTCACATCAAAACAAAAGAAATAAAATCAAAGAACAAACCAATTTAGAATTACTTCAGTTGGTCAGATCTTTTGCATATTATTAAGAGGTCAAAGATTCAAGTGTTATCATATGCAAGACTCCCCTCTCTGGTTCAAGATCACCACACATACAAAAAAGAAGGAAAAAAAAAAAAAAAAGAAAGAAAAAAAGAAAAAAGAAACACATCATACGCCTAATGAAAAGTATGCGCACACCGAAAAAAAAAGTGCAGCTAAATCACTTGCCTCTCATATCTTGTTTGCGTCTTTATAGTTGAAAACAAAATGTTTCACGTCTGTGATTTTGGTGTGCGAACTTTTTGGCGATTGTAGTAGTACTATATGGAACGTTGATGAGAAAAAGATTTAGGGTTGTTTTGACAAATTGGTAAAAAGTTAATTTTTTGATTTTTTGATCTTTTTAGTGGTTTTTTGGACAGAAAGTTGCGTTCTTTTAAGTAAAAAAAACTGTTTTTTTTGACAAAAATAACTAAAAAGCCAAAAAATTAACTTTTTACCCTTATTGCCAAAATGCTCCTTAGTTGTGCTTTTACTTTCTTTGTTAACATTTTCTCCATTTTGAAAAGTTTAAAAACGTCCACCAAGGTTACCATTTTTGTGCAAACACATTTTTTAAAAATTCAAAAAATAACTTTTTAGTATTTTTTGGAAAGTTATTTTTGAAAGTTTTATTGAAAACAGTTCGCCAGACTTTTATGTATTCTCTTAAAAATAAAAACCAAAAACAAAAATGAAAAGGCAACCAAACATACTAGTATTGCATACCTTCTGTAGAAATGGAAACAAGACCACCTTCAATTTATTCTTCACATACAAATCATTTACTTCAAAGTAATACTGAGGGTTGGAGAAATATCTGTTAATCTGTCATATATTCACCCCCTCATTGGATAGGGTCTACTAGTGGTGAGTACTCTACCTCAGCTGCTTGTCAAGCCTTATCTGAGCAGGATAATATTGAGTTTAACTGGCAGTGGCTTTGGAAAATCAAAATTCCTCAAAAGTTTTCTTTGTTTAATTATGCATGAAAGATTGCTAACAAACTATATGAGACTGATTAGGCATATGTCAGAGTTTGATCTCTGTCCCAGATGCAACACAACTAGGAAAGACATCCACTATCTCCTTATAAGTTGCTCCAAAGCCAAGGTTATCTGGCTGCACCTCAGGGATCATGACTGGTGGCAAGTCAGCAACAACACCTTATTGCAAGGGTGGATTAAAACAAACATGAGTAGCAAGATCCAAGTCCATAATACACACTGGCCCTTGATCTTTGTTACAACTCTTTGGATTATATGAAAGGATAGGAACAAAGAAATGTTTGAGAACCATACCCATTTCCCCCCATCAGTGTCCAATCCATTCTCAAGCAAGCTATGAACATTTAGGAAACTTTCCTTAATGTTCTTCATCCCAATTTCTCAGAACCTAAATTAACTAGCTGGCTTTGTCCCTCTGCAGGTAAGCTCAAGCTAAACTCTGATGGCAGTTCCAAAGGAGATCCAGGACAATCAGGCTATGGCGGGTTGCTCAAAGATGAAGTGGGAACATGGATCTGGGGCTACCATGGCTATTTGGGCAATTGCACAAGCCTGGAAGCTGAAATCTGGGGCATCTACAAAGGATTGACCATCATCATGCAAAAGGGACTGTCAAACATTGAAATTGAGACAGATTCTTAGGCAGCCATGAAAACACGAAAAAGCATGTGGCTCCCCCAGTATATGTAATCCCCCAATCCTCTGTTCCTGTCAATCAAGCAGGCCCTGTATTCTTTGGGTATCTTAATATTTTGTACTTTTATACATGCTGATATTTGGCTATTTTAGAGTACTATCGGTAACATTCATAATTTTCCTATTATTGTACAATTTCCAATTTTTCACACTATATCAATGCAACTGAATGAAACTCGTAGTTCAAAACTCAAATGTATATGATCTAATTTAATGTTTTGCAGCAGAAAATAATAATATCCAATTTGTTGTGTAAAGGAATTCATTTGCGCGTGTATTATATATATATATATATATATATATTCACCAAAAAAAACACAAAGGTAGAATTTGTTGAGTTAGAACACAACAGCTATACAAAAGTGAATCTTTATTTAGATACAAAGATACATTCAAGTATATAAGAAGACTCTCAAGGACACCTCACTCTTGGAATTACTTACACTCAAGCACTTGACTCCAATCTTGTTTTTTGTGTCTTGTACCTTTCAAATGAAGTCACTTCCCTTTATATAGGCATCCACCTCCTCAATGGATGGCTAGGATCATTTTGATCCAAGGGCTATTATTAACCCTCTAGAATATTCTAGCATATACACATACTTTCCCATATTCTAGAACTCTCTAACTTATTCTAGTAGATAATAGTACTTTCTATACTTCTAAAATATTCTAAAATCTTCCGGAACCTTCTAGATTTCTCTAGATTTCTACAAGCTTTTCTAATTTTTTGGAATCTTCTACAATGTTCTAGAATCTTCCAGATTTCTTTAGATCTTTCTAGAGTCTTCTAGATCTTTTCGGAGTCTTCTAGATTATTCAACATATGCAATTAATAGCCTAGATGATTCTAGAAAAGTCAATGATGACTCTTAACACTTCCTCTCAACATTGACTCATTTATTTAGTTCTTCTTTTGTAGTTAAGCTGAGTTGCTTCCGAAGCTCCACAAACTTTGAAGCTCCAAGTTCTTTAGTAAACAAGTTTGCTACTTAGTCATCTGTTCTGATTGATTTCATATCTATCTCTCCTTGTAGCACCTTCTCTTGAATGAAATGGTAATGTACCTGCATGTGCTTTGTCCTTGCATGAAACACTATATTCTCACCAAACGTCTTGTTGACTGATTGTCATAGTACAACAATACTCCATAGTCAACTTACTGGTGTAAATCATTCATCAATTGTATAAGCCATGTGCTTTCTTGAGCTGCCATTGCTGCTGCTCTATATTCACCCTCTATGGTAGATAATGATACTGTAGGTTGTCTCTTACTACACCAAGAGATTGCTCTTGAACCAAGGCTAAACACGTATCCAGTAGTCAACCTCTGTGTGCTATGATCTCTCGCATAATTAACGTCATAGTAGCCAATTACCTTGCATGCTTCGCCTTTCTTGTACAAAAGACCGAAGTCAATTGTACCCTTCACATATTGGAGTATTCGACAAATTGCTTCTAGATAAGGTTTCTTTGGCTTTTGCAAATACCGGCTTATTACATCAACTGCATATGTAATGTCTGGCTGAGTGAGGGTGAGGTAGATCAAACTACCTACTAGTTGCTGATACATAGTTGCATCATCCAGGTCTTTACCTTCTTCTGAGCATAACTTGGCATTCATCTCCATTGGTGTAGAAACTGGCTTGCACTCAAGCATCTCATACTTCTGCAGCAAATTTTTAGCATATTTTTGCTGGCAGAGGAATAAGTCTTTGTTACTTTGTTCTACTTTAAGCCCTAGAAAATGCTTGAGTTCTCCAAGCTCCTTCATTTGAAATCGTATTGGCAAGTTCTCTCTTGTCCTTTATCATCTCCGGTGATGATTAAGTCATCCACGTATACTAGTACTATAACTACTTTCTCACCTTGAGACTTGACAAATAGCCTCAAGTCCGCTGGTGCCACCGAGTACCCACTTTGTACTAAAAATTCTGCTATTTTGCCATATCATGCCCTCGACGCTTGTTTTAAGCCCTACAAGGCTTTCTTTAATTTGTAGACATAAGTTGGATGGACTTTGCTTTCAAACCCCTGGGGTTGCTCCATATATATATCACGATCTATCTTATTATGCAGAAAAGCATTCTTTATGTCCATCTACCACAACTTCCAAGACTTGCTGGCTACAAGTGCTATTAGTACTCGCACCGTTGTGATCTTTGCTATTGGACTAAATGTTTCATCATAGTCCAATCTATATTGCTCTGAGAAGTCTCGAGCCACTAGACGTGTGTTGTACCTTTCTATTGATCCATTAGGATGAGTTTTTACTTTGTACACCCACTTGCATGGTATCGACTTCACGTCCTTGGGCTTAGGAACTAGCTTCCATGTTTGATTCTGTTTGAGGGCTTGAATCTCTTCCTCTATTGCCTTCTGCCATGCTTTGCTTTGGGATGCCTTTTCAAACATCGTTGGCTCTGAAATGCTATCTTCTTCAATTAGAGCAGCATTTGCATACTTCGAATTAGGCTTAAATTATTTTTTCGACCTTCTGAGTTTTGGTCCAATCTTTTTAACCCCTTCTTGTTGGCTTAGGCGAACTTCTTCTGGACTCTTGTGATGGACACCTGTTTTCCATGAACTTGAAAATATTTTTGGTGTCTTTGACAAGTCAGGCTCTAGCTCATCACTACTTTGTGTTAATACTGGCTCCTTGATGATTTCTAAACTAAGAGGTGCCTCTTCATCTTGTCTTTGCTTCCTCAGCTTTTCTTTTAACTGATCTTTTAAATTTTTGGAGTCTGGCAATGGTACATCTTGTGAAGACCACCAAGATGAGGCTTCGTCAAATACAACATTTCTCGAAGTATAGCAATGGCCAATCGTGGGGTTACAACATTGCCACCCTTTCCTTTGACTGTCGTAGCCCACGGAGATGCAACGAATTGCCTTATTATCGAACTTGCTACGTAGATGATTTGGCACAAATACGTAGCAGACACATCCGAATAATTGAAAGTAACTTATTGTGGGCTTTATGTGACATAACTTCTGGAAGGGTGAGACCAACCTTAAACCTGCCTGCGGTAGCCTGTTGATCACATGAGTTGTTGTCTTCATACATTTAGTCTAAAATTTTCTAAGCACATTCTTAGCATGTAGCATGCTCCGACAAGTCTCTGCAAGACGCCTATTCTTTCTTTTAGCCACTCCATTCTATTGTGGAGTACCTGAGTAGGTAAACTGATGTCAAATTTGGCATCTCTAAGATAGTTAGAGAACTTATCTGATGTATATTCTCCTCCATTATCTGTTCGCAAGCATCGAATCTTCTTTCCAAGCGCACTTTCAACCTTCTTACGAAATTCTTTGAACTTGGCTAGAACTTCAGACTTCTCTTTCATAAAATACGCCCATATGTACCTTGAGAAGTTGTCAATAAAGGTCACCATATAACGCATTCTGCTGATTAATGCTTGCTTTACTGGTCCGAAGACATTTGAGTGGATAAGCTCCAAGGGTTCCTTAGCTCTATACTTTGAATCTTCATATGGTAACTGATGTGCCTTACCATACTAACATTCGGCACAAATTGTATCTTTTTGAATATCCAGTTGAGGAAGGCCCTTAAGCATAGACTTTTTCATCATTATTTTTAGCTTGTGATAGCTCACTTGACCCAAGCGTGCATGCCAAAGGTCTGCAGTCTCATTCTTTTGAGTCTTATCTACGTAGGCTGATTCTGCTGACATTACGTAGATAGACTCTAACTGTTTTCCCTCCATGATGCGAGTACCAAATAACTTAACCTTCTGGTAAACCTTTACATGCTTTGGGCCGAATAACACATAGTTGCTTGAGGATGTGAGTTGTGAGACTGATAACAGATTCTTCTTCATTCTTGGCACGTGATAGACGTCCTGCAGATGTATTTGGTTAGAGTTGAAGAGAGGAGTAATGATTGTCTTACCAACATGGGTGATCGACAGCCTTGTATTATCAACTGTCACTACTACCCCACCTCCTGTGTACTCAAACATGTTGGACAGCTCCAGTCATGTGTTTAGAGCATTCTGAATCAACGATCCAATCATTGTTGTAGTTGATTGCTCCAGTTTAGACTCTACCACAAGAGCCGATTCATTAGGCTCAGATACAACCGTACACACAACCACTTCA